GAAGGAAGGAAGGAAGGAAGGAAGGAAGGAAGGAAGGAAGGAAGGAACTGGGAAACTATTTTCTACATTTTGGCTTTAAATTTTTTGTCCTTTTTCACTGCCAGAAACAGTGCCACTATGATTCAGCAAGAGTTAATGTTTCTTGGCCTTAAGCAACATAGAGCACAGTCTAGCAGATATTAGTTATGTGAATTGGTTTGTGACTACAGTATCTGAAAAATACCTTTTGCCATTCATTCCTACTGATGGCTTGACATCCTATAATTAACAGACACTCTGCTCTTGATGTCTCAGCACATGGCAGATAGCTGGTCAAGAAAAGGAGACATTTGATTGAGACTTTTGACTTCCTGGCTGACATGGCAATGGCCTAAAGTCCTTTTGACATTTATTCTTCTCGCATTGCCAGCAAAAACAAAAATGGAAGCCCTAACCTGCTGTATAAATTTAGAAGCTGAGAGAGAGGTGGGATTTTTGGTAGCTAGGCATTAAATAACATAGGAGGATAGGAAAAGGCAAGGATGAAAGATGAAAAAAGATACCTCTTAGGCTAAGGGGACAGAAGAGAGGAAGCAAAATGAAGACAGATGTGAAAGAGCAAAGAATGATATTGATCTGAAAGCTTGGGGTGAAAATTTTGAGATATTCAGGGAAGTCTCTTTCTCTGCCTCTTTCTTGTATTGGCAAGAGAGTGGGGATATTGAGAAGAATGCATTTTATAAACGATTCACATATTTCACTGAATGTCTATGGAGATTATCACTCATGGTTGGTTATCTCAAAGGTGATTTTTCAAGAGGCAACTGGACTTTGTTTTTCCTTGAAGATAATTTGTTTCCTATCCAAGGACCTTCTTCAGTCAGAACTTAAAGAAGCTTCTTGGGTGAGAAGAGAAACCTTCTCAAGGAAAAACAAAGGAAGTCTAAAAACCTGATTCTTTCAAGTACTAGTAGCATAATAGTAAGGAAAGTCATTTGTACTTATTTCTGAGCTGATATGATATCAAGAACAATACTTAAGGAATGAAGAGAATTCCATTTTCCCCAGAATTTTCATTTCTAAAGTCCCTCATTGTTTTATGTATTTATTTAAAAAGTTTCTATGGTTACCTATCTTATAACCAACTCTGGGTCGCTCTTTGACTTTTACTTATTTAATAACACAAAGCTAATGAGGATGGGAGTAAACAATCACGAAAAGGGAGGATAAAGAATTTTTGTGTTTTTAAAAATTGACATGTACATGTGTAGGAGAAAGATAGGTAGGTAGGTAGATGATAGATAGATAGATAGATAGATAGATAGATAGATAGATAGATAGAT